GGATAGAATTTCATGTTTTATTATGGTATGTAGGTATCGTATTCTACGACAAAGACGAAGTATTGGCAAAATTGAATAAACTGATACTGTATTCGATGAGCCAGATATTAACAATTCAAGTGATATAAGATTTGAAGCAATTGAAGTATAAGTTGATATATCCAAGTAATCATAATCATAATCAAGCTTAACTGAACGCAGAGAAGATGATTTATTCATCAATATAGTTCGAGTTATATTACAGTTGTCCGTCTCATTGATTCTTTTATAATCTGTTTGTATAATAAAAAATGCAACAAGTTTATTCAAACTTTGAATTTGTTTAATAATATTTTCAAGTTCAATTGATGGATTATCAAATATAAATATACATGATTGAAGATTAACAAAATGATGTCGATTAAATAGTAGACTAATAATAGATGAACGATTACGAATTGTATCATAACATTTTAATGATATAACTTGATCAGCATGAAAAGTAAGATGAGAAGAAAGAAAATTAATTTCTCGATCATAATGACTATTTAAGATGATAACATCAAGTCGAATTGATTGTAGTAGTGACAAAATTCGTTTATTTAATGAAGCAAAACCAGTAAAAATATCAAATGCATGTAAATAATCAAATATTTCGAAGAAAATTTCATTTGATAAATCTTCTAAATGTGTATGTGTATCCATTTGTTTAATTGACGAGAATAAAAGATGGTAAAAATCTTTCGGTTGTTCAGTTTATTATGTGTAAAGAATGTATAAAATGAAAGAGCAATTTCAAGATAGTATGTTATTATATACTCTACAATAAGCAGTCTATGAGCAATATGGACGGTGAAATAAAATGAAAAATGAAGTTGATTATCGATTTATCTTTATATGTGAAACAAAGACATTCAGAAAACATATATATTGATGATATTCACTTGCCTAATTATTTTTTTCTATTCATTATATAATCTTAAAAAGAAGAAGAGTAATAGAAAAAGAAATAAGTGAACTTCTTCGTATAGTGTAAGGTATGTCTATTCGATTCGTATGTATAATTCATTGACATACAAAACATTTTTTTAAAATTATAACATCTTTCTTTTTAAAGAATAAAAAAAGACTAATTCATTAAAATGTTTTAATAAGTTAAAATAAACATTTTGAATTTTGAATGATTATTTATTTATTTTTTATCATAGCATATTTGTTTTTTTTTAATAAAATTATTCCAATTCCAATAATTGAATGTTCATTCTGGTTGAACTGTTTTTGGTTGACTTAAATTAACGAGTGTTGGCGGATGTGTCTTTTTTTTGTTGTTGTTGTTGGTGATGGTGTTTGTGGAGTTGATCATTGTCGAATGTGAGAAGAATGCAATTGTTTAAATCCTTCTTCTCATCGATCAACTTCTTTTGAATAAGCAATACATAGAACAAATCTACAATTTTCTTGTAAATATGATAAGAATTGTGCATTTCAAACACGAAATACATGTGGTTTAGGAAAGACAAGATGTGATCCAGATATTAGAGATTTAAATGTGAGAATAGAGAAAAACAGGAATAATCTTGACTAGGACATACATTTTCACCTTTTTT